AATCAATCGAAATGACTAAAAAAGGCCAAATATTATGGATAATACCTCATGAAAGCATAAATTTGGACCTTGCAAAATTATTTGCCTATGGGTCAAAACGCAAGTAAATAACGAAAATTCATGAGTTATAGCTCATGAAATCTTAAATGTTGGCCTACATGAAATGATTTGCCAATGAGTTAGAACAATTAAAAACGACCAAAATTTGTTGGTTATAACTCATGAAATTGTGAATTTTGGCCTCAAATAATTATTTTCTATTAGATTGAAATAAAAAAAACATAGGTAATAGCTCGTTAAATCATTAATTTTGAACTTTATGAAATTATTAGCTAATGGGTAGAAACGAGTAGAAATGGACAAAAATCTTTTCTAAAAATTGGCAAATAATTTTAGACCACATGAAATTATTTGGCAATGAGTCGAAATGGCTAAAAATGGCAAAAAAAGTATGGATCATAGCTCATGAAAGAATAAATCTTTAGCTCTGCAAAATCATTTACTAATGGGTCAAAATGACTAAAAATAATAAAAAATAGTGAGTTATAGCTCATGATTTGTGAACTTTTTACTTTAAAATTATTTAACAATGGGTTGATACGATTAAAAATGATCATAACACATGAATAATAACTCAAAAAATTATGAATTTATTCAACAATGGTTGACAATAACTAAAAATAGCTGAAAATTGTGGATTATAGCTCATGAAATTGTGAATTTGGCCTGCGTGAAATTAGTTGCCAATGTGTTGAAAGGACTAAAAAATGGCTAGAAATTATGGAATGTAGCTCTTAAAATCATGAATTTCATACTCTCAAAATTATTTGCTAATATATAGAAACAACTAAAAATAATAAAACAATTGTGGGTTATAGCTTGTAGAATAAATTTTTGACTCCGCGAAATAATTTACCAATGGATAGAAATGACTAAAAATTCCTGAAAATGTGGGTTATGGATTATGAAATTATAAATTTTGGACTATATGAAACTACTTGCAAATGCGTTGAAATGAATAAAAATAGCCAAAAATTATAGGCTATAGCTAAAGAAATCCTAAATTTTTGACTTTGCAAAATTATTTACCAATGGATTGAAATGACTAAAAATAATAAAAAATTATTGGTTATTGCTCATGAAATCGTGAGCTTTAGCCTCCGCAAAATTATTAGCTCATCCAACTGTTAATTTTGGGCTCCATAAAATTATTAGCCAATGGATAGAAAAGACTACAAATGACTAAAAATCGTTTCTACTCATTAGCAAATAATTTTGACCAATGCAAAATTATTCGTCAAAAGGTTAAAACGACTCAACATGGTCAAAATCACAGGTCACAACTCATGAAAGTGTGAATTTTTAGCTACGTAAAATTATTTGTTAATGGGTCAAAATTAAAAAATGGCCAAAAAATTGCAGGCTATAGCTTACAAAGTAGTGAATTTTGGACTTTAAGAAATTATTTGTCAATGGGTTGAGATGACTGAAATAGCCAAAAATTATGGGTTATAGCTCATAAAACATAAATTTCTGACTCTGTAAAATTATTTACCGATAGGTAGAAACGATTAAAAATAGCTAAAAGCATGGGTTATAGCTAGCTCTTGAAATCATGAATTTTAGAATACACAATATTTTTTAATGGGTTGAAATGAATAAAAATGGTTAAAATCGTGAGTTATATAACTCATGAAATCCTAAAATTTTGACTTTATGAAATTATTTACAAATGGATCAAAACCACTAAAAATGGTTAAAATTTAGTGTTATAGCTCACGAAATCGCGAATTCTTGACTCCACAAAATTATTTGTCATTCGAAAAAAGGAATAAAAATAGCCAAAATTCATGAGTTCTAGCTCATGAAATCTTTAATTTTAACACAAATGAAATTATTTTCTAATGAGTCAGAACGACTTAGAATGACCAAAAATTATGGGTTATATATAACTTAATTATGAAATTGTAAACTTTGAACTTTGTAAATTTATTTAACATTGGGTCTAAATGATTAAAATGGCAAAAGATATGGGTCATTAGCTCATAAAATATCGAAATATGGACTTCATAAAATTATTTGCCAATTGGTCAAAACAAATAGAAATGGCCAAAAATTATGGTTTATATAAAATTATTTACCATTGGGTCTAAATGATTAAAAATGACAAAAAATATGGGTCATTAGCTCATAAAATTTTGAATTTTGGACTTCATAAAATTATTTTCTAATTGGTCAAAACAAATAGAAATGACTAAAATTTATGCTTTATAGCTCATGAAATCTTAAATTTTGGCAAAAAATCAGGGGTAATAACTCATGAAAGTATCAATTTTAGTCTTCACAAAATTATCTACTAATGGGTCAAAATGACTAAAAATAAAAATAAAATTTTGGATTATAGCTCATGAAATGATAAATTTTGGCTTCTACTAAATTATTTGTCAAAAGGTAAACATAACTAAAAATAACAAAAAATTATGGATTATAGCTCATAATATTATGAATTTCAGACTCTATGATATTAATTGCCAATGGCTCAAAATGATTAAAAATAGCCAAACTCTATGGATAGACTAACAGTTCATGAAGTCGTCAATTTTGAACTTCGTAAAATTATTTGCCATAGGGTCAAAAGGAGTATAAATGGCCAAAAATCATGGATTATCCTTATAAAATCATGAATTTTGGACTCTGTCAAATTATTAACCAATGGGTAGAAATGAGCAGAAATGGCCAAAAAAGTTGTGAGTTATAGCTCATGAAATCATGAATTTAGTACTCTGTGAAATTATTTGCTTCTGGGTAAAAACAAATAAAAATAGCTAAAATTCATAGGTTATGGCTCATGAAATCTTAAAATT